ATATATAAATATATAACATTAATAAATTTATAAATATTTATAAATATATAAATTTATCAATATTTAGTATTTTTTATAATAAATTCAATTATATTGAATCTCTTATAATTAATATAATATCTTGACAGGAAATAAATCAACACTTTTTTAAACATATTTTTAGTTTTGGTTTTCGGTCCAGTGCTTCCAGAATTTTGGTGTTCTTTTTGGTGTAGCACTACGTTATCCATCCTTCTTCAAACATCAGGGTTGTTTTAGTGTCTAGTCATTTCTATTGTTTTATTAGTGATGATTCTTACTGCTGGATGTTCCAGGGGTGCTGAACTGTGAAGGTTCTGTGAGCTTGCGTGGAGTGGACAAACTGACATCCAAAACATACGTATCCTTTGAAGCAGACCTGAAAAAAAACAACAACAGAGTTACTGTTACTACCTTCTTCACAACAGCAACCATTATTATAGTGACAGCAGCTATTGTTTAAACATTCATAAAAAGAGTAACCATGAATGTTTTATGAAAATAACAGAGAACGTTCCGCAAAACCATTGCCATTAAAGCATCCAGAACACGAAGAATCAAACAAGGCGGATTGCGAAACAGACGAGAGAGAGGAAATGAATAAAAATCCTGCCAGAAAATTGCAGTCACGTCATTACCCTGACTAATAAATCACTTCTCCTCATGAAAGCGTCGCGCTATAATTACATGGCCGTAAACAGAGCAGCGGAAGAGCGACAAACGCGCACGCACAATTCCGAGATCAAAAACACTATTACAAACAACTCCACACTTCAGCCCTGCGGGGTCACCAACCTGCATTAGCTTAATGCGCTACACCACTGCGCCTTGTCTAATCTACGAGAATTAGCATTGCAGAGGCAGCGGCGGCGGTTCGCGCGGCACACTGACGGAGGGGGTCAGCAATCCCCTGGCGACAGTGAGCACGTGGGCGGCCGTGTCACCATCGAGAAAAGCAAAAACCTATTATTCCTCTCGTGCTCATCCGCGAGGGTGCGAATGACTTATCTCTGTTTGCGCTGAACGCCGGCATCAGAGCCACGGCGGCCAGGCCCTGTACGCAGGGACAGGAAGAGAACAGTCGCAAATCAGCTAATTACACGACTCTGGTGAGAAGGAGGCAAAGGGGCCAGAGAGGCTTTGTTTACCAACAAGCTAATGATTTAAGACCCTGGTGAACAAAGCCTTCAATAAAGAATGAATATTGTGATTTCCCTTCAAGATAGCGTAATCACCCCCGTTATTAATTATGGGAAGCAGAACTATGCTGAGATCCAGAAACAGACTTTAGTGAAGATGCGTAACACATTTTCTACGTGTCGCCCCTTTGACTGATTAAAGTTTATTTAGAATGTCAAACTAGCTAGGGTTTACAGCAGCTCTGGCCCATATTCAGGCCTGCATTCTTAATTAGTCTGATCAGTTATTCTGTCTGGCATATTCCACACCCTTATTAATGATCAGACAGCAATGACTCATGGGATGTTTGGTTTAAGAAAGCACGTCCCTCTTTTTAAAAAGTACACACACAGTAATTAGATGAGCTGTGCACCCTGCCACCAGCAACCTGCGAAGGTAAATTAATCTAAAGCTGAGAAATGACTTTGCCACTCTGAAGGTAATTGCTTTGAGTTGCCACAACCTGAATCAAATGTTTTGAGAAAGATTTTTTATATTATTCTACATTTTTTGTAATATTGTTGACCTCCTTTGGGTTCAAATACTAAGTCCACATATCTTTGATCTGAACTGACGCTAGATTTGAATCAAGCAACAGGGATCTAATGAATATACTCCTCAATACTTTATCTAAAGGATGTTATAATAACTCACCGGCCCTTGTCCTTGTCTTTTCCTCGGTGACCCACACGGCTGGTAGACTTGATGTAGAGATGTCGATGGAGCTCATCGATTAGCACCAGGTGGATGTTGAGTTTCTTGCTGTGGAGCTCCAGTCGCAAGTCGCTGAGACCCTCCACCTGTAGCAGGGGTCCTTCAAGAGAATCCACTGCTGAGACCTACAAACACAACAGCACACTTGAAGTTCCATCTGCCTTTATGTCTACGTGCAAAAATGTTAAATAATGGGATGGAGTTGAATATCAAATTTAGTGACCCCAAAAATATTTGGAGACTTGAGCCACATTTATAAGTGCATTGCATTGCATTGAATTGAATTGAATTAAATTAAAAACAAAATTAAATAAAAAATTTTTTTTTGCTTTTTTGTCCCAATGCCTCATTCTAATTGTAGTAGATGTTTGAGGTCAGCTGCCTTCAAAAGTTCATAATAAAGTTAATTTACAACCATAAAGAGTTTAAATTTATTTAATGTTAATTTTACATTTACATTTAAGCATTTAGCAAACAGTGAGTGGCCATTTATCCAAAGCGACTTACAAATGAGTGACTAACAAATTTTAGATCATTACAAACTCCTTTTTGTTAAATTTTTCCTTGAAAAGCATGCTTTTTATTAACTTTCTCTAAAATCGGTAGAACTTGGGTTAAATATTTTGTAATCTTATGCTGTGATTTCATACATTTATAAACGTGGTGAAGTATCTGAATATTTATTAAGGCCACAGTATATTGGTTCGAAACTCAAATCCCAATTTATTCTGTCTGGCATATTCCACACCCTTATTAATGATCAGACAGCAATGACTCATGGGATGTTTGGTTTAAGAAAGCACGTCCCTCTTTTTAAAAAGTACACACACAGTAATTAGATGAGCTGTGCACCCTGCCACCAGCAACCTGCGAAGGTAAATTAATCTAAAGCTGAGAAATGACTTTGCCACTCTGAAGGTAATTGCTTTGAGTTGCCACAACCTGAATCAAATGTTTTGAGAAAGATTTTTTATATTATTCTACATTTTTTGTAATATTGTTGACCTCCTTTGGGTTCAAATACTAAGTCCACATATCTTTGATCTGAACTGACGCTAGATTTGAATCAAGCAACAGGGATCTAATGAATATACTCCTCAATACTTTATCTAAAGGATGTTATAATAACTCACCGGCCCTTGTCCTTGTCTTTTCCTCGGTGACCCACACGGCTGGTAGACTTGATGTAGAGATGTCGATGGAGCTCATCGATTAGCACCAGGTGGATGTTGAGTTTCTTGCTGTGGAGCTCCAGTCGCAAGTCGCTGAGACCCTCCACCTGTAGCAGGGGTCCTTCAAGAGAATCCACTGCTGAGACCTACAAACACAACAGCACACTTGAAGTTCCATCTGCCTTTATGTCTACGTGCAAAAATGTTAAATAATGGGATGGAGTTGAATATCAAATTTAGTGACCCCAAAAATATTTGGAGACTTGAGCCACATTTATAAGTGCATTGCATTGCATTGAATTGAATTGAATTAAATTAAAAACAAAATTAAATAAAAAATTTTTTTTTGCTTTTTTGTCCCAATGCCTCATTCTAATTGTAGTAGATGTTTGAGGTCAGCTGCCTTCAAAAGTTCATAATAAAGTTAATTTACAACCATAAAGAGTTTAAATTTATTTAATGTTAATTTTACATTTACATTTAAGCATTTAGCAAACAGTGAGTGGCCATTTATCCAAAGCGACTTACAAATGAGTGACTAACAAATTTTAGATCATTACAAACTCCTTTTTGTTAAATTTTTCCTTGAAAAGCATGCTTTTTATTAACTTTCTCTAAAATCGGTAGAACTTGGTTAAATATTTTGTAATCTTATGCTGTGATTTCATACATTTATAAACGTGGTGAAGTATCTGAATATTTATTAAGGCCACAGTGTATTGGTTCGAAACTCAAATCCCAATGTAGCTTGTTCATTGCTAGTAGCTGAATAAGTGAAGTGTTCCAGGCATATCCATTGTTGTAAAACCTCCTAGATTAGCTGCGCTCCAGGATCACATAATCGCACATGTCCCACCCGCCCATCAAAAACCACAGCGATAAAGCACAGTAACAACTCACGTCCAATCAAGGTATTAAAAGAGGGAGAATGCAGCGTGGTGGACCGCAGTGGCGCTGAATATTCACTCTGCTGAGTGTGTGTGGCTCTCCTGCAGAGAGCATGATGAAGTATGCGGCTGCTGATTGAATGAGGCGTGAGACGGAGCTTATCAGTGAACACAAAGTGAGAAAATGATGCAAAAACCCAAAAGCTTGCTCTTTCTTTTGCACACAGAGATTTACTAGTTTTTTTTGTTGTTCAAAAATCTCTAAATAATATGAAATAAATAAATTCCTAATAATAAATTAAATCCCTAATAAATAAAATCCATAATAAAATCAATCAATCAATAAATCTCTAATAAATAGTATAAAATAAATCTCTAATAAAAAAATACATACATACATGAATATATATACGTTATATATTTCACATAAAACATGTTATAGGCTGTGGATACAGAACGTAATTTTAAAAACCATCTGGCTTTTTTGCTCTGTTTTGTGTATCTGTTTTTCATCTCCTCCTCAGTGCAGGGAAATTTGAAAGCTGTAAAATGAAGAACAAATGCAACTTAACATGGAGAACGAGTCCAGGTAGTCCCCTCAGGCTTAGCTTTAATGCTGTCCTGGATCTGCACTATATCAGCAGCTACTTGCCATGCTGCCGCATTTGCAAACTGAATCAGAAGCAGTTGTGTGGTTGATATGTTCAATTTCCTCATTTCATTCACCTGACCTGGCTCACATGTCCCAGGGCCTTGATCTTATATTCAACCTTTCCCTTCTTCCTTCCATCCTTCTTTTAATCTCTCACACTCTCTCTCTTGCTCTTTTTTTATTGCATTAACTTGTATTTCTGTAAGTGTGCCTTGTTACAGGTCTTAATGCCAAACCTGGTTTAGTTGAGAAGACACTTAAATTTGCAACTGAGACAATAGAAAAGAACAGCAATAAAGAATGAGAGAAAGAAGAATTGTTAAAGACAGGAAGAGGACAAGGAAACGAAAGGGAAGAAGGAGAGAAAGAAGAACAGTTAAGGACATGAGAGGAAGAGGAAAGGAGCAAGAATGAGAGAAAGGAAAGGAACACAGAGTAAGAGGAACAGTTAAGGACATGAAAGGAATAGAAAGAGGAAAGGAGATGAAAGAAATACGGAGAGGGAGTGGAATGGTTCAGTGAAGGAAATAAGAAGAGGATGATGGAAAAAAATGGAGAGGGAGGAGGAAAAGTAAAGGACAGGAATTGGCAGCAAAGGACAGAAAAGGAAATGGAGAGGAAGAGTAAAAGAAAGAAAAAAGAGAAGAAAAGAAAACTTCAGAGGAAAAAGAAAAAGGAGGAAGAAGAAGAGGAGAAAGCTGTAAAATGAAGAACAAATGCAACTTAACATGGAGAACGAGTCCAGGTAGTCCCCTCAGGCTTAGCTTTAATGCTGTCCTGGATCTGCACTATATCAGCAGCTACTTGCCATGCTGCCGCATTTGCAAACTGAATCAGAAGCAGTTGTGTGGTTGATATGTTCAATTTCCTCATTTCATTCACCTGACCTGGCTCACATGTCCCAGAGCCTTGATCTTATATTCAACCTTTCCCTTCTTCCTTCCATCCTTCTTTTAATCTCTCACACTCTCTCTCTTGCTCTTTTTTTATTGCATTAACTTGTATTTCTAGTCTTTACTTCTCTTTGCCTTTACCTCTTCTCTCCCTCAGCACTGAACTACCCTGCAGTGGCTACTGCTTGTTTATATTTAGTGAATAAATCAAAATGGCTCTGAATGAATGTGCTTTATTAGAGGGAAGCTAATGGCCTGTTGATAGTGCTCTGGAGGACCATCACTGCACACTTTGTGCATCGCTTTTGACAGACAGAGGGAGGGGTCACACAAGTCAAGGAGTTGTTCATGCAAATGAGGGTTGCATGAGCCACAGTGTATACCAGCAGGATCAGCTGAGCGTGTGTAAGTGTGCCTGTGAGGAGAGGAGAGGCGAGGAGAGGAGAGGAGAGAGGAAGAGGAAAAAACAGTAAAGGAAAGAAAAATGGAGAGGAAACAGAAAGGGTAGGAAAGGGCAGAAAATGACAGAAGAAAGGAAGAGAAAGAGGAAAAGAAAGAAAGGCAAAAATGAAAAAAAAAATTGAAAAGAAAAGAAATAGGAAGATGAAGAAGAAAAGGAAAATGAAGAGTAGGAAAGTAAGACAGAGGAAGAGGAAGAGAAAGGAAAGGAAAGGAAAGGAATTAAGCAAATAAAGAGAGGAAAGTGCCCATTCAACAGATGTGAGGTAATGAATGACAGCTCATCTGAAAAGCACACACTAGGGAGGTTAACCAGACTGACAGGTACGAGAGTTACAAATGTGTATGTGTGCGTTTGTGGGCATGTGTGTTCATGTAACTAACAGACAAAAGTGAGGGAGAGTGTTTTCAGACGAGAGTTGCAAATTGAAACACCGTGTAGAGCGTAATCTCTGTTGGCAGTCCCAATACTCCTCGTCAGATTTAACACAGTCACACACACAGGAGGAGAAGAACACCTGAGGGACCTGAGAAAGCGGGAAGAAGGAAGCTTGTCATCTCTGACCACAGCTGATTTCCCCTGTTGAAAGGGAGATGTGGGTATACCCAAAGAAACAGTGTGATCAAATACCTGATAAAAAAAGATCTTAAAAACCTGAAGATTCAGATTCTTATTTTTGATGATGTTTTTAGGCCCATGAGCTTTGGTTAATGTAGTGGGAAAGAATCTCCTGACCAGAGTTGCATAACTGAATAAGTCACTTTTTATGTTAGTGCACATGCTCCTGACAAACCATGCCGGCTGACACTCCTAAATAACTTCATGCTACTCTCCACCATACTGGTCTCTATACTACTGTTCAATAGTATTGGGTCAGTAAGGTTTTTTTTACAATTGTAATTATAATCAATGTTGGAAAAAGTCAATGTTGTGCTGCTTAATATTTTTATTGAAAAAATGTTGAGGTTTTAACAACAGAACCTGAAGGTGCTCTGCGGGTCAGTGAAGAAGAAGCATTAAATAAAAAAATGACAGAAAAGACATTTATAATGTAACCAAGAATTACTATTTTTTTATTAAATTATGTCTTTTGAACTTTTCATCAACGTAAAAAATATATCACAGTATAAAAACTATTTCCAAAATGTGTAACAAAAAAAAAGTTAGCTTATATCATGTTATTTAATGTTGTTATTGTAATATATTATAAAATGTTATAGTGTTATTATACAGGGGGACCTGATATACCTGTCATGATTATGATTGTTTGGGAATAAAGATTTAATTGTCTGCTTTGCTCATGTCTTTTATCGTGTACGCCTAAAACATTTTTAGATTTTATACAGGCCCATATGATTTTTTTTTTATTCTGTAAAAATAATATAATATAATATAATACCCTTACACTGTTCAATAGTATTGGGTCAGTAAGGTTTTTTTTACAATTGTAATTATAATCAATGTTGGAAAAAGTCAATGTTGTGCTGCTTAATATTTTTATTGAAAAAATGTTGATTTTTTTTTTAGGATTCTTTGATGAATAGAAAGTTCAAAAGAACTTACTTGAAATAGATTTTTTTTGTTACAATATAAAGGTCTTTACTGTCACTGTCGTGCATTGTTACCTAAATAAAAGTATTATTTTAAAAAACTCTTTTAAAAAAATCTTACTGACCCTAAACTTTTACAGTAGTTTAAATATTTACAATACCAGTCAAATTACAACTAAATGTATGTTTTAATAATCTAAAAGATCTTTACATCTAAAGGATTATGCTTGACATTTCTTTAAAATATCATGCAATATTTGGCATTTTTGCTATATGTTAAATGCAAAAAATATAGATGGCATATATGCATATTTGTAAAAACATGCGTTATGAAAGTTATATAGTATTTTAAAGTTTTGCCCGTGTATGGATTTCACTGCTTACAATAAAATACAATAATACAATAAAAACAATAATTTACATTTATATATATATAATATTTATTTATTTATTATTAATTTTTTTAAAGCAAAGCATCCTAAGAAGCATGCAATGAAATTGGTTAAAAGAATACAATCAGTGTCAATAGCTCAAATTAAAGAGCTATATTTATTTTCATATTTTTATGTATAAAAGGACAAGCTGAAACAAAAACAGGTAGCATGTACTTGCCATGGAATGAATAAAATTTCCCCTACCAACACATTCGAACACACACTCACCAGCATATCTGTGGCGTGCAGGTAGTGCTTGCTGGCCATGGATGCCTCCAACTTCTGAGGGACCTGTTTGATGTTCTCAATCTCATCCAGCAAGCTGAGGACATGCTTATGCTCGACACCTTCGATCCACAGCTTCCTCAGTTCATCTCGCTTACAGTGGAGGAGCATCTTACAGGATAACAGGTTCTCCTTGACCTGAGCAGAGAGCAGCCCACACACACCATGTCAGGAGAAGGTGAAAGTTCACACTTGATAACACAAGCATCAGCTTCGCAGTTTTCGCAGCTTCACAGCTCTGCTTTCTTCTTTGCATAATTATTTTCAAGTGTGTCAGCAGCAGGGGAGAAGATGATAAACAAACATTTTGCCGTAGATTAAAACCCGAGCTTAGTGGCTAATTTACAAGGATATTATTTCAGACATCGAAGACAATTACTAGTGATTCCTAATGATTCTTTTATGATGGCTCACCATGTTTTGCAACCGTTTTGAGTGGGTGGGGGGGTAATAATTAGTTCATTTTTAATGTTCTTAAAAGAGCTTACAAAACACGCACAAATGTGAACAAATCCCAAAGCTGGATAAACAAACAGCAAAATTAATGAACACTGTTGTGTATCATTGGCTGCGTTGGGTTCATGTCTTCCATTTTCCCACTTACGCGTAAATTTTGACACTCAGGGAAACGTTTTTTGAGTCCTTGACTCAAACACATCTTTCAAGAGTGCAATAAACAAACTCGGTCACCTGTGTCTTTAAATAATAATGAGTAAAGACGGTGATTGGGGGCCCCTGGGCACTTCACATCAAATACTTCAGCAGCATGAAGACAGAAATGCTATTCTCTATGTTCTCTGCGGCAAGTTTTGTTGGCTACAAAGAAAAGCAGCAGTTGCATTTCATCTCCGCCAGCTGCTGACCAGAAGAAAAAAACCTGTGCGGTGAAGAAGTTATTTCAATCAGCCATAAACAAACAGACTGACAGCATGAAGATGTATTGCTGTGAGTGACTATGTTATTAAAATACACTACTAAGTCATTGTGCATCTGCCTCAAATCAGGGGATTATTTACCCCAAATGAGTAAGGACAATATTTTTTTATTGTATATAAAAGTTACATAACCAAGACAACATGCAATTAAATAATTAATTCAATAATAATAGTACTTTTTTTTTTTTTTTGAAAGAAAGAAAGAACGTTTCATGAATGCCCATGACATTTTTCTAGCGTCTTGGCTTTGGCTTTCTTGCTATTTCTGACACTGGAAAATCGTGATTGACTGCAGTACACTTAAATCTTCCAGAGCCAAGGCTGCACTCAATCAAAACTCATCCTTTCATCATTACCTTGCAAACTTTCAAGACATAAGTAGTTGGATTTTTGGCCATCACAACACAATTTCACTAAAATCCATCATCAGAAGCCCACCCACTTGAGGAGACCCGCTGGGGCCGGTGCCAATCCAACAATGTCCCAGACCGCAGACTGCCAGACATCACATCTCAGCTCTCAAAGTCTGTCCTGACTCATTTCCACAGCGGTGTGGCTTTAAATCAGAGTAAAGTAAGGCAGCACAATCTCCCAAAAGAGCTCATTACATTCAGTCCAGTCTCTGGAGCTCAGAAAGATATAGAAAGAACGTCTGAGAGCCAGTATTCAGTAGGGAAAAGTCCCTTCAAGCTTGCAGTGAAGCACAGATCATGTGGATCTAGCTTCGGCCCATAGACTCGCTCTTTTTTGACCTCACTCGTTGCCCATAGGACATCATAATGGAAACGGCTGATGGGTAAAAAGGAGATAAAAGAGCCGTGAAGCAGAATGATGGATTTCTGACAGCTTATCAGCTCAGCTGTGCTCAATGGAAGAAAATAGGTTTCATCTATGTAAAGTCAAGGTTTGATGCTGTGAATGTACTATTTGGGCAAAAAGTTCATTACAACTCACCCAGGCATTACCAAAAGTCATGAATATGTGCTGTAACTAACTATAACCCTCAATTAGGCCGTAATTTTACCACACTATACTGGGTTCTGGCTGCCATCTACCATCACCAAATTAGCCTCAAAATAGTCACATCTTCCACAAGGTCACAAAAGCCTATATGTACAAGAACTTTCTGTCATCATGCCAGCTTCCCTGCCACAAAAAAATAATTTGAAATAAAATAAAATAAATTCAATATATTACTTATCATACAGTTAACATCACATACTATATATAGATATACTACATTTTCCACTGCACTCTATACGATTTTCTATCGTTATACTTTCATATTATTGCACTTGCATATTGTGATTGTGTTGTTTAAGTGTTGACAACCAAGACAAATAATCAGACTGCGTTTATGATGTTCACAGTGTTCCCTAGGTTCCCTCTGTTTTGAAACTCAGTCCTGTCAAAACATAAGCACTTTCCATTTAAACACGTTTTGAAGTATGCCTACAAACTACGTGTCATTCAGAAGACCTCACAGAAAACTATAAACTTCAGCTGATGCAACGTAAAGGTTCTTAAGATGTAGTTGTTACACAACTCATACGCGTATAATAACAAAATATGAAAGAATAACAGGATGTATCGTTAGCAAACATGCTAAGCGGTTATCCATTCTGGTCCTTTTCCTTAGAAAATCCGGGTGCAAAGATTTAACGCAGGCAAAGTCAAGCTGGCAGACACAGATATTGTAAAAATATCGTGCTCACCTTATTACAGATATAAGCAAACCGGAAGGGTCTTTGCTTTTGTTGACAGCGCTCCTGTATCTGCCTGTGTCAGCTGCCATCTTTCCGTTACTACACCCAAACACCTCGTGACGGACTTCAGCCAATGGGAAGCCGCCTTCAGCAAAATCAGCTGATAGTACAGGGATCGTAGGGAAATGTAGGAAATGTAGTCTTTTTTCTTTTTTTCTTTTTTTTGCTGAAAACGCCTACAATCGTTTGTACATCCATAAATGTTATTTAAAAATGTATACCTTCATTTACCTAATTTTTTATTTTCAATAAAGAAGTTGGTATATATTTGCATTCTTTAAATAACTTTGGATATTCCATTTTTCTACTGTGTAATAATATGCTTTAGTTCATTCTTTTGTTAAATTAAATGTAATCCTCTTAGAATATTCTGTTAACTGTCATTTTGCTTGTAGATGTTTTGTTCTTTTTTGCAATAAAATATAAAAACACTGTTATTTATTTTATTTTGCCGTTTATTCACTATATCACTTTTTAATAACAAACAGTCTCATTTCTCCCACTTCATTTTAAGCAGCCATAATTTAGGTAATAATTTTTTTTCATTTATTCATTATATATAATTTTTATATATTAGACAATACTAAAATTCATTTACATCTTTTAACTGAAAATGCTTATTGTTTTAACTGAAATACAGCATGTACTAAAAGTAACTTAATGTACATTTAATCTTGAACAAATCAGTTTTGTGAACTGGTTCAATCAAAAGATCCGACTCAAAGGAATGTGAAAAATTATTTTACACACCAGACATACAGGGAGGGAGAAAGACAGATTGAAAGGTGTAGGTTGTTAATTGCTTTCTGTTTCTAGGATATATTGCTCTGGACCTGCTACCCTCTATCTCCTGACGATCTCTGCTGTAACAAACCACAGAGGAAAGGGCATTGATTGTGTGGGAAAGGGTCGATCTGGCAGTCTCCTCTTTGACTGATGTGTCCGAGGACAGCAGAGATAACACAGTGGCCAATTTTGTGCCCCTTCAAAAAAGGAAACAATCACGGAGACTCTGGGGTTATTTTTCTTTTAGCTCCTCTGAGCCTAGTCAGATCCAGAAGTTCTTATCAGCTTCCTCTGAGGCCCATCATTTCTGAGCAATCTATAGTCCTTTGCTGATGACACAGGACTGAGGTTATTTCTCATCACCTAGTGCAGGATAAAAGGTTGTCATGATGACACCTGAGGGCATGTAGACAAAGACAGCCACCCACTAAAGGACAGAGGACCCACATCTCTACATGCACACAGCTCCAATTTGACATGAGGACTTCAGGAACATCTTTTCAGTTATAATACTGTTAAGTGCTTCTAAGACAGAATGTACCTATTTTACAAAAATAATTTCTTAAAGCTTTTTGGCATTTAAAAATTATTTTAAAAACCTCAAAGCAGCTAAAAAAAGGGAATGCCTTAAAACTCTCTAAATTACTTTGTTTAATGTAGGTTATAATTTGCTTATATATATTGGGTTATATTGATTAGGTTAAAAATAACAAAAAAATACAACTAACTAACACAATAAAACACATTAAAAACATAATTTTAATAATAAAAAAACATGATTTTTGAACATTTAAAAAAACGAAGTTATCTGTTTTTGCAAATAAACTCTTAATATATATGTATATATATATATATATA